AAGTGTCAGTACAGTCTGTGAGGTGGTCCACAGCCCGTGAAGGGTCTTGTGGTTCACCACCTCTAGGCTGGTACTGAGTCCATGGGTAGAACAACGGATCGTGGTATGTGTCACGGTCTGTGAACCATTTCGTGGTTCACTAGTTCAGGTGATTTTTGCTGCACTTTTCTAAGTTTTGGTCCCATGTTGTTACAAAATCTATATAAATAAAGAGAGAGAAAGATTTATAAAAGAGTGAAAGTTTACATTCTCCCAAAAAACTGTTAGGTCATTCTGGAAATTTTCATCCATATGATATTATTCATTGTTATAGATTTAACGGAAGAGAATGAAGTTTTTCAAGAATTAACACGTAAATTTGTTATTCCACATCCAAATCATCCAGGACTCTGAGATTTACTATGATATCACCTTGCTAGAAAATCAAGTAATGAAAAATCCCAAACCATTACCCTGAGTGATCACATCTATCTCACTTGGAACATTACCAATATGTGTACCTATAGATAACTTGAGTGATCACATTTGATGAAAAGTTGGTGCTAGTGCAACAATCTGCTAAACTGGTGCCACTTCTTTCTTTTCATGTATGTCTATCTTTAGTTTCATATTACCTGGAAAATGTATCTATACTATATTGTATCAAACTACTGTGTATGCAACATTGATCTAATTTAGGCTTTATTTTTTAGATTTTGTAATTGAGTAGATGTAACGTATAATTCATGCTTATTAAGTATATATTTTTAAATAATAGAAATGTAAATACATGTATGTACTGTATGTATTTTAATAAGCGGTAAATTTACATCTTTTTGGAAACATTCTTCATCACTTCATATAAGTTTTTAATTTACAAAAGATCTATTTATTGTTTTTTTTTTCATATTTGCTACTTGACTATGCATAAACAGTACAAAGTTGATGGTGATGAAGATTCGACAACATTAGTGGATGTTCCCATATCCTTAATGATATTCCAGGAATTAGAAGTTGATAGTCATTGAGGTAAGCTTCTGTAAAATTCCTCTTGATGAGGTGCTTTCTTGAATAATTTTTTGTATAATTTTCTCCTTTTTTAGATTAAGTCTTACATTGATGCCAAACATGAGAGGTCTTTCAAAATAAATTTTGTCTATATTTTATTACTAACTATTACAAAATTGATGGTTATAATGAATGAGGAGAGATTTTAATTTTAAAAATAAACTAAAAGTAACAAATATGCCTCATATTTGTTTTAAGATTATACAAAAGACGTCTAAATATGATTGTGTATATAAATGATAAAATGTGCATTATATTAAGATGACTTATTAAAATTTGAACACTAAATTAGACTACTTATTATCGAACATACAAATATGTAAGAAGTCTCATTAATTTAAAATATTATAAATATGAAGTTTAGGAAAAAAGGATAAATGATACTAAACTATGACCGAATTTCTAGCATCACACTTAGACTCTCTGGAGGACCTAGTATCCCCTTGAATATTTTTTTAAAATCTTCCTTTTGACATTTATCCAGTGTGACACAAGCCCAAACTTCATTACGAAAGAATATAATGATTCATGAGGCTGAATTTCAATTGAAGTGTGAAAGAAGGGTTTCTATTTTTACTTTGTTGGAAGTAGTTTTTTAAAAAGAGGGGGCGTGAGGCGAGGTATTTTATGCAGTTATGGGCGAGGCATAAGCTCCAGACACATGACGTAAGTCTAAGGGATTTATGGGGCATATATCATGTATATTCATTTTTATAATTTTATTACTAAGAAAATAAGAAGAAGTAAAACTATCAATAATTACACAAATTAATTTTAATAAATAACCTATACTATATAGAAAACAATATTATGATTTTGAATTGAGATATATATTAATTACAAACAATAAAAAAGTATAATAATTACTATTTGAGAAATATCATTACACCAATAACGAAAAAATATGATTCAAAACAAAAAAGTTCTTAACGCCTAGGTCATACGTTTTCACGTTCAGGGTTTACGGTTTTATTCTTGGAGCTTACTCACCAAATTCTAAGACTTAAGCCCTACATATCTATGCCTTCGATTAACGCCCATAGTGTTTTTGGTAGGCTCCGCCCCGAGACTTGCCCTAGGACTTGCCCCAAAAATAAAAGTATCATAATTACTATTTGAGAAATATCATTACACCAAAAACGAAAAAATATTATTCAAAGAAAAAAAGTTCTAACAAAAAAAATAATGCCAAGGTCATACGTTTTTACATTTAGGCTTACGCTTTTATTCTTGGAGCTTACTCACCGAATTTAAGACTTACATCCTACATATCTATGCCTTCAATTAACGCCCATAGCATTAAGTAAAACTAAAGACTAAATTAAAGCGATAAAAATAAACATGTCTCTAGGTCTCGGAGAATGAAGGAGGACTTACCACTAATATTTTTGATTTGAAGACCGGGAATTGATCTAATTATTATCTAGAATGCTGAGAACCTAGACCTACACCATGGGAAGATGTAGCGCATCGTATGGGTTAGTACTTGAAAAGTACTGAGCATGCAGGATAAGATAAAGCTAAAGTAATACATTACTGAACAAACACAAAAGTTAGTGTAATATTCTGAATATGATATAGATACTGAATACTAATCTAACTAGATGCAAGCACCACATTTATAGCATGCCGACTGAATAATTAATGAACTCTAAATATGGTCATTTGAATAGAGTCTGAATGAATTGTGGGAGCTATTAATAACCGACAGTAAAATCAGATGAGCTAAATGTAGAGTTCGATATATATTTCCCAGCGAGAGGACCTAATACACCCGAACCAAGGTGTAGAGGCATCATGGCGTGATCACTAAAATGATACCCATGGAGGGGGCTTACAACCTATGTGGTTAGTAGTTCTAGGACTATTTGGATACGCCGAAACCTAGTCCGATTTGGTATTTTGCTACTCCAAATGAAATAAGTGGTTAACATATTATGATGGAATTTCTGTAGTATTGGATAGCTTGAAACTAAACATGCAAATGCTGAATGCAACAATTAATCTGATAATGATACATTAATAATTGAGGCATGTATAGCAGAATAATTTAATATCTAACGTAGAGTGTGTAATTCAAGAACTAAAGAAATACAAAGTTAGGATTCTGAAATTCATTCAATAAACTGATTAATGACATAATAATATGATTTGGATCATTCTAACAATTAAAACCTAACAATCCTAACATTCAAGAAACCCTAGGTCTAGATGATTTTGAAGGAATAAAGAATCTGACTGAAAACTAGGGACCGGATTGGCAAAAGGAACCCACTAGTGATACCCACATACCTGGTGATTAATTTCACGGAAAAATCTTTTGATTTTTGGGATGGAACTGATCACTACAAAAAAAGAGTGATTAGCAACGGATATTAGCGACGAAACTAATTACGTCACTATATAACTATAAATTAGCAACAAAGTAGTCATTTCGTTGCAAAATTTACAAATATTTTTTTGAGTTAAAATACACCACCAGATTGGCGACGGAATATGTATTTTGTCGCCAAATAATAGCGGGAAACTTTGGCGCCTTAAATTTTGCTACAGATTTCGCAACAAAGTAAGTTTAATAAATTTAATAATATATTGTGACGAAATTAGTGACGGACAAGCGTTGCTAGAATGTAAAATATATTTTTATAGACTTTAAATTATGTATTGATGGAAATTTCTATCTCTAAAAATTAATGTAAATAATTATTTTATTTATAGCGAAGGGTATCAGAATCCATCGCTAAGTTCGTTGTAATATTTTTTTACACAAAAAGGAAACAAAATTACAATCCCCTAAAAATTAGGTTTTATATCTCTGTGAAAAGTTCCAAGAGATCCGCAACAGTTGAGTTAAGAATTCTCTGGTCTCCTTCACCTTCCACCGGTCTCCTTGAGGTAAGAAATCAATTTCTCCGGTCTCCTTCTCCTTTCGATTGCTCTCGTCTCTCTTTTCTTTCGATTGTTACCGTCTCAGATTCATAGTGAAATTGCTCTTGTTTCCTTCATCCTCAGGTAAAAGGTGAGAGAAACCTTGGGTAATTTCTCTTTTTTCATATGTTCGGTGAGTTTCTAGTGCGGTGAAGAGGAAGATTTCGACTTCTATTTGGTCAAAAATAATTTGGGAAACGGGATGGGGTTATCAGGGAAGAACATGAGTCTTCTTTAAATTTTCTTGGATACGTGATGTTAGGCATATTGTAAACCACATTGTCTACTAAACTCACTCTAGCACAACAAAAAATCGCCGGTAAAATCACTTCAGATGGTAGTTCTTCTTCTGCTTCACCACCTAAAACTTGTAAGCAATGTTTCAAAAATAAAACGATACTTGCTAATTATGTACACATTATAAGATACTTGTAATTATTTATTGTATGTTCTTTTTAAGCTTTGCAGGTAGCTTAACAAATCTTACAGATATAACTTTCTCAAAGTTGTTAGAAAAAGAGAATCCAAAAAAGATAAATAGGTATTTACATGATTTAGCAACTAGATTTTAATGATGATTACATATCTCAATGATTTTTAAGATAAGAGTGTGTGCTCTATCTACTTTAGCATTCACAGTGAGATATGAGAGGAGAATGAGGTGTTTTAATGGCCTAAATTAGCTTCTACGTTCATTACCATAAGAAGAGATTTTCTATTGTTCTTAGTCTCTTCTTATTAAATTGTTAGTAGAAGCTTCAAACTAGGTTTTTGGCTTCTTTTCTAAAGATCTTATGTGTTAGATATACACTTTTATCATGATTTCGATGAAATGTATGTGTTTTCCTTGTGTCTTTCCTTTTAGTGTTGAAAGGATTGAGTTAACTATTGTTTTTAATATTTTACTTTCTTTCGTTACTGTTGTTTGCTTGTACTTTTCTCTAATTTCTGATTTTGAAAAAAATTTAGATTTTTTTTTACTCTAACCTTGCTTGCTTCTACTTTGCTTGATGAAATTCTTGATATCTCGAAATAACAGTGACAAGAAGTCTCCAAGCTTTTCACTGTCTAGTCACTACCTTGACACTGCTTGGAGAAAGGTAATGTTTCCTCCGTAATCTTCTCCTCGTCTTCTTCTATTCATGATATTCCTCTTCTTCTATTCATGATATGCCTCGCTAGCCTGTTGTTGTTGTTGTTGTATCACTGTTGTTTGTAGATGATAATTGATGAATTTAATTTGCTACACATGGGTTCTTAATGGATTTTGTTGATTCATATTAATGTGAAAGTTGGCTTTTATCGTTTAGCATTTAGTATTGACGCTTATTTGTTTCTTTTTGTTTGAATCTATTTTAGGTGACTAATCTTCGCTATATCGTAGAATCTCTGTTCTTCATTTTTATTGTTTGTAAGCCTATTTTTTACATTCAGTTTTGCTAGTGTTAATGATGATTTCTTTTCAACTCTAATTCTTAAATACCTTTTGTTTCTCATCAATTTTGTGGGACTAAGTCTGCCTAGTGAATAACTATCGAAATTATTTTTGTTTTTTCCTAAATGCATGTTTTGTTATTATTTGATGAATGTGAATGAGATTACCTTCCGGTCCACAATATGTATTTGTTATTGATTTTTTATTCTTGTAAATTTAAACTTTATTAGGAACATGAATAATCTACAGCGTGCTTGGATGTATGATAGGTTGGATGGTCGAGGGGCTATAAATTCTAGTTTTGTGATTGGAGTGGATAAATTTATCCAATTTGCATGTTTGCAACAGAATTGCATGAGTGGCAATAAAGTTAGATGTCTATGTAAGACATGTCACAACTTTATGTTCATGGATGTTGAAACGATTAAGCATCACCTTTATAAATCTGGATTTGTTGATAACTATTTTATCTGGAAACATCAAGGAGAAAGAAATATGATTGGTGATATTTCTTGTGATCAAGATTTGAATGGTGGTGCTACACCTGAATTAGGATATGATAATCCATACCGTCAAATGATTTTAGATGAAGATGGTCCTAACTTTCCCCAAGGTTCAAGTTGGCAATCTTTTGGCAATACTGAAGACGAGTCGTCTCATCCTTGTGAACCTTCAATGGAGGAAGATCCTAATCCCGAGTCTAAAAAATTATATGATTTGCTACAAGCAGCTAATGCAAAATTATATCCCGATTCTTTCCTCTCTCAACTTGCTATTGTCTCCCGAATGTTAAATATTAAAATGGAGAACAACATGTCACAGAGAGGTTATAACCAAATAATGCAATTGTTGAAACAGGCTTTACCTGAAGATAACATAGTGCTTGATAGCTACTATCAGACCAAGAAGCTAGTTCGTAGCTTGGGTTTGCTAGTTAAAAAGATTGATTGTGGTGAATCAGGATGTATGTTGTATTGGTGTGATGATGAACATCTTACATCTTATACATTTTGTGGACATGATAGATACAAGCGTCGTGTTGGCTCTCGTAAGAGGAAATTGATCCCTTACAAGAAAATGTATTATTTTCCTTTGATTCCTAGATTGAAAAGATTGTATGCATCTCATGCTACAACTGCTGACATGAGATGGCATTACGAGCATACAAAAGAATATGGTGTAATGTGTCATCCATCAGACTATGTGGATTGGAAACAGTTCAATGACACTTATCCTTTTTTTTTTTGCTAATGAACCAAGAAATGTAAGGTTGGGATTATGTACTGATGGTTTCCAACCATTTATCCAGTCTGGGAGCAGATACTCTTCATGGCCAGTGATTGTCACACCTTATAATTTACCTCCAGGAATATGTATGAAAGAGGCTTATATATTCTTAACAGTCATTGTTCCAGGGTCAAACAATCTCAAACATAAAATAGATGTTTATTTGCAGCCTCTAATAAAAGAATTGACTTTGTTGTGGGAGACAGGCGTGCAAGTATTTGACATCTCAAAAAAGCAAACTTTCAACTATGGGCAACTTTGATGTGGACAATCAGTGACTTTCCAGCATATTCTATGTTATCATGATGGAGTACTGCAGGTAAGTTTGCATGTCCATATTGTATGGAGGAAACAACCTCTTTTAGATTGACCCATGGTCAGAAAAACATCTTGGTTTGACAGTCATCGGATGTTTTTTGACCAACATCACCCATTTATGAGAAATCGTAAGAACTTTCTTAAAAGCAAGATTGTGCAATGACCTCCGCCCTATAGAACAGGAGAGGAAATACTGAATCAAATTTGTGATTTGGACATAAGAAAAGTAAGGGAGTTAGATGCAGAAAAAGTCAATCGAAGAGTGTGTAAGTCTTGCGGATGGAAAAAGAGAAGAATATTTTGGGATTTGCCTTATTGGAGATTAATTAAAAGAATGAACCCATTGATGATGGACTTTTGCAAGAGAATCATGAAATTCACATAGTATCCACGGAAAAAGAGTATGAAACTGATGAGGATGAGGATGAGGATGAGGATGAGGAAGATGAAGAGGAAGAGAAAGAGTTTGAAGAAGACAGTGACTAGTGCTCGATCATTTGCTATTGTATTTTCATTATATTCTATTTGTTTTTGATTTTCAATAGAGGATAATCTGTAGTAGTTTCTGCTTTTCAGTTTGGGAGACTTATTGTAATGTAAATTTTTTTATCATTTCTTTGAATTGAATGACATTCCTTGACAATGATTGTGTAACAATCAATTTCTGGAGCCTTATTAGAAGCACATGATAGATTTTATATCAACAAGATCATACAGAAATAGTTTTCATATTTCATTTTTGTTCCAAATTATCTAACAACACTGTTTTTTTTTTTGTTATAGGTATTGATGGAGACAAAGGTCGTGGAAAATCCTTAGGTAGGAGTAAACCTGATGTTAGTGTAAGCATGCCAAATATTCCCAAGCCCACTAGATTTTCTCCTCAAGAAGGTGGTACCCCAACCAATATTGTAACGTCAACTCAGAGTATTAGCCCAATCATCTCTAAGACACCTCCAGTTACATCAAACGAGAGTAACCGAACAGGTTAGGGTATTCCTACCCACAACAATGTTCTGGAGCCTTATCACAAATTCATTCTTAGTGTAAAGCTTCTGATATAAGTTCATGAACCCTTCACTTTTGTTACTATTGTTTTAGATAGTTACTCTTGTTACCCTTGTATCTCCAAGTACTAATTTTTTTACTTGATTAACAAGCTCTTAGTTACAGAGACAATTTTCATATTTCAGCATTATTGTTCCATGTAATCTCATTATCGAACAACAATGTTATTTTTTTATAGGTATTGTTGGAGGCGAAGGTCGTGGAAAATCCTCAGGTAAGAATAATTCTGCTATTCGTGTAAACATGCAAACTATTACCAAGTCCGCTACAGTTTCTCCTCAAAAGGTGGTACACCGATCATATTGAAATCTCAACTCAAAGTACTAGACCAACCATCTCCGAGACACCTCCAGCTACACTAAATGACAGTAACCTAATAGGTCAAGGTATTTTTACTCATAGCAATGTTCCAACAGGTCATAAAAATATAGTTGTTGAAGGCGAATCCAATAGTAGCCATCCACGGACCCTTGTCTTTCTAAGTTCTGTAGGGTTAGTCTATTCTTTTGATTTTATTCCTACTTGTTGTGTTGATGACACTTGCTATCTTTGAATTAAGATTTATGATAGCCCTCCTAATAACCTCTTCTAATTTATAAAGACTGGAACCTTCTCAAATATGTTGTAGTTTCATATTCAAATCTTTCAAAAGTGAGGTTGATCCCAATGGAATCAATTGGAAAGGTATTTCAAATGATGTAAGAAATGTTTATTTTGGAGAATTTAAGGTATAAGTTTTCATCGTAAGTGATTTTAGCAAGTATATTCCCATATATAGATTAGACATTAATGTACTTTCAAAACTTGTTATAGAAAAAGTTCTGCTGGGATGTTTCCATTAGTGAAAACGAAGTCAAAATACAATGGATGGTTAAGGCATCATTGAACTATAGGAATTTCATTTCTAAAATAAAAAAAAGGAGGAGTTAGGAGAGGTTACGTACCAGAAGATGTATGGGAAAGATGGATGAAGCATTGGGGAAGTGTAGAGTCGATTAGGAAATAAGAAATTAATTTGCAAAATCATCGTGGCGATCGTGAAACTGATGTTGGGACTCACACTGGTGACTCCATTTTATCGGAGAACATCGCAAGAAACTTGTTAGTATATATATATATTTTACAAACTCTATAACAAACATCTTCTCTTATATGACATATATAACGTGATTTATTTTGTATAGGCTATTGAAAAAGGTCGAGATACCACGCCAAGTGAGTTACATCTGCATGTTCATACACATGGACATGATGGAAAAACAATTGATATCCATGTAGTCTAAAACTTGGAGGTGTTTCGGTTCTTTCCTACTACATTTCATGGTGCATTTTTTTACTGTTTCAAAGTGTATTTGTTGCTGCTGTTTGGTACAGTTCTAATGATGTTTTGAGACTTTATGATGCAATTCTAGTATCATTTTAGAAAGAAACTACAGACACTTTTTTGATGCTTTTCTGGTGCAAATTTTCCAATTTTTTTTGGTGTGATTCTACTGTTGTTTTATAGTGACTCTAGCTTCAAAAAGTGTTATTGTCTGTGTGGTACTGTAATAAGATATAACTCTCTTGACATGATCTTCTCTTGGGGTGGATGCTGTTAGCAATTACTTGGATACCCATTGTCATTGTCTATGTGGTACTGTAATAAGAGATAACTCTCTTGACATGATATTCTCTTGGGGTGGATGTTGTTAGCAATTACTTGGATACCCATTGTTTATTACCACGGACAAAACAACTGCTACACTAGATAGAGGTATTGACACATGATGGTTCCTTCAGTTGTACTGATTGACTTCTACTATAATGATGTTATCTACAGTTAAGATATTATTATTTACTTAAAAGAGAAAAAGAAGAATGTATACTCGAGCTATGGGACGAGAAATTAAATGCTAATCTTTATCATCCTCTCTTCCTATTTTGAAATTTCAGAATCATGTCCTCACAGGAACACTAGTCACCTGGTTGGGAACATCATTCAAAAAAGATATGGAACATTCACTGGGTTATCTTCAAGTGTCAAAATTTGTACTGCATATTAGATATTTTGCTGTAATGAGATGCTATCAAGCAATTATATCAATGTTCTACAATGCATATCCAATTCTTGTGAAGTTACGACATTTTGCATACTACTTATAGAGCTGTATACATAAGGATGCCTTGATATTACAATACCAACAGTCATGTTGGATGTCAAGTCTAGATTATTTTCATGGGAGTACGGGTTCAGATATACTAGATATGACAAAATTTTACAATATTTACCCCCACTTCAGCTATCTAAATGCTTGCTTGTTTTGTACATTTCACTCTCTCCAGGAGATGACATTTTCTTTTTCACAGCATAACGGATGACTGAGTTCACCTTTTTCCGCAACTTACCATTATCAACAAGGATATTAGTCAACAAGTTTCTCAACTTTTTATCTACAGTCCAGGAGTCGCTATCTACTTCATTCATTTTCTCAGCAGCAGCAGAAGAGGAATCTGTTCCTTCATCTGTCTTCACCTGATAAAAAGAAGTCACCACTACTCGTGTCATAGAGTGAACAAATACCAACATGCATAAACTCATACAAGCAAAAACTTCAGGTAAAGCTGAGGCAACAAGTTGACAAATTATAACAAACCAGAGCAACACAAAACAAGATGTTGTAGCCTCTAAATACAAAATCAAGACCTAGATCACTTGTACATGTAAATATATGACTTGAGTTTGTGAACCTTCGTTTAACCCAAGTGATCCCACCACCATATTTTTCTCTGACTCATGAAAAAATTAACTAAATATCATTTACCAACCAGCCGTGTTCTAAATTAATGTGTGCCTACCAAAGAGAACATCTAGCACCTATGTTGCTTAGACTGTGGGTGTGTATCATCCTCCCAAAGTAGTGCATTTTTGGAGGATCCAACACACTGCAACAATATTTTTTGAGATTCCGAGCAACATAATCTAGGACTTAAGGAGCAGCCAAGTTTCCAATTTTTTTTCTGGCTTAACTTCAAAATTTGATTTGTATTAGTGATTCAACTTATTTTTATTTATTTGAGGATGGTGGTCTCCGGGCAAAATTTTGATTTGGCATCAGATTGAGGTTCTTGCAAGTATTTTGAAGTGCAAAGAGAAACACTGCCAACAATTTACCTATAGGCATTCCTTTGGTTCCAAGCACAAAGCAGAAAAAAATTGGGATGTCATCATTGAGAAAACAAAGAAAAAATGATCTTGGACATCCCAATATCTATGTTTGGTAGGAAGAGTTGCACTAATTCACTCAGTCTTGGACTCTTTACCCACTTAACTGATGTCCTTCATTCCTATTCCTAGTGAACTATTAAAGGTTTTGGATTCACTTAGAAGAAATTTTCTTTGGCAAGAGAAAAAGATAGAAAAAGGCTTCAATCGTGTTACGTTCCCTGTAGTACAACAAATTAGTAAAAGTGGAGGATTAGGAGTGAGAAACTTAAAGGAATATAACAAGAGCATACTTTCAAAATGGTTGTGGAGATATAATCAGGAGGACCACGCTCTGTAGAAAGAGACAATACATCGCAAATTTGGTCAACAGGATCTCCGGTCCACTAGTGAAGTCACTGAAAATTACAGTGTTGGGGTGTGGAGGACCATCAGAAACTTCTTGGTGAGTCTCAAGAACTCAAAAATAGTGATAGGCAGAGGGGAGAAAAAGTTCTTGCCAGATGATTGGTGTAGAAATAGGACTCCATGGGACCTATTCCCTAGTCTTTTTTTAATATACACAAATCCTGATAGCAGGATAGAGGAGAAGTGGTCTCCACAAGGTTGGAATCTAGTATTTAGAAGGATTCTTAATGACTGGGATATTGATATAGTGGTGGGGCTCTTGAGCCTGACTGGTGGATTTCGGGTTCTATCCTAGAGCCAGACAAACTGGCATGGGGACATCACAAAGATGGGAGATTTTCTGTGAACAGACTATACAATTGGGGCTCAGAGGAAGTGCAGGAAGATCCACTGGACTTTGGAGCACAATGTGGAAAAGTGTGGCCCTAAAGAAGGTGTGCTTCACTTGGCTGGTTGCTGGGAAGAGTTGTCTCGACTCATGAGGCTATGCAGAAGACAGGCATCATCATAGTATCTAGATGTCTCCTCTGTACAGAAGCTCTGAGGACTAATAAGCACCTTTTCATGCATTGCAGAGGTGGGGCTCTGTATACTAGCATAGATAATGAACATTGGATTATGCAAGAGCACAGTTCTGACCTCCTAAGTTGTTGGATCAAAAGAGGAGGCACCTAGAGTCGGAAGAGATAGTGGAGTACAGTTCCAGCATGTATTTGGTGGATTACATGGAAAGAAAGGAATCAAAGAATTTTTCAAGGAAATGAATATACAATACAGAGGATCAAATGGAAAGTAATTCCTACTCTAGGTTTTTGGTGTATAGAACAGGATATAGAAGAGGAGATCCAATTAGTGGACTTCAAAGGCCCTTTGTAGGTATTTTTCCTTTTCCTGTAATTTTGGAGGTGGCCAGCATAGACCTCAATGCTGAGGAACACAAAAGTTAGCAGTTACAAAAGAACTATATGAATATCCATATTATTATCTGTTGATTAATCCATTTTTATCAGTGTCAAATATGCGCGGATCGGATATTTTATCCTTTTTGTTTAACCCATTTTTGATCTGCCCATATCGGATCCAACCTTATCCAGCAACAAATCCATTTTATTCGTGCTAAATACAGGCAAATCCGGATATTTTATCCATTTTGTTTAACCCATTTCGGACCCGACCATGTTCGGCCCGACGCGTCTGTTTGACACTCCTAGTTATGTACGAGACAATCATTAACATATATAAATAAGGCAAAGGGATAAAGAGACCAACCTGACAAAACCAATGTTCTTTACATCAAATAACATTCAATTTTCTTTTGATTTTGTTTTTGGATAACAAGGTTTAAATAATTTATAATAGAATTTGTCTTGAAATAACTTATGAAGAAATATTTAAGTGAATATCTTTATTATTTCGAGTGAAGCATACGCTTCAGTTTTTTGTTTTTTAATCGAAAAAGTACTTTTAATTTTCAGAAAAACGTTTATTTGGAAAAACATGATCAAGAGAATATTTGAAATCAAAGAAAAGAATTATCGATATATTTAGTTTCTCAAAATGTTTTAAAAGTGGGGTTATGACTTATGATTTAGCCCATCTTGACCCAACCCATCTTATCTCAAACAAACTTTGGGACGGATCGGGCATTGACCCATCTATTGGTTCCGGCCACTTGACCCGCCCAACTTCAGCCCAAACAACTTTTCAAGTGTATAGAGTTGGGAATACAAGATTTCGAGTTCCACATTAATTTGTCTATCATAATTTATATTTTATCTTCCCCTGTTAGGTCTGTCGTACTTACCGACATGATAAAATGAAAAAGTCATATAAGAGGATGAAATGCATAAAGCTTTACATGCCATTTCCACTGCATAAACAGCTATCACAAAATTGCAACTCATAAGTCATTTGGCAGAAAAATCTCAATAGAAAGTGGCAACTGTTTTCAAATGTAAAAATGAAAATTGCAGCTTCCATACCTCTGCAAGGAGAAAGTTGATTTGGTTGTCATAGGTTGTGAGGAGATCCAAGGCATCTGAGCATGAGACATGATCCATGACAAGGTCATCTTTGTTTTCGTTGACGAAATTAATGTTGCACTCCTCAAAGCGCT